TGGGTGAATGGATGGATGAACAGATGGATGGATGGATGGATGGATGGATGAATGGATAGATGGATGGATGGATGGATGGATGGATGGATGGATGGATGGATGAATGGATGGATGAACAGATGGATGGATGGATGGATGGATGAACAGATGGATGGATGGATGGATGGGTGAATGGATGGATGAACAGATGGATGGATGGATGGATGGATGGATGGATGGATGGATGGATGAATGGATGGATGGATGGATGGATGGATGGATGGATGGATGGATGGATGGGTGAATGGATGGATGAACAGATGGATGGATGGGTTGATGACTGGAGAACCATGGAAGCATTTGCAGCAGGGTGTGACTGGCTTAGATTTATGTTTAGAGGATGGCTTTGAGAGTGGTAAGATTTCCCAGGCTGTTGCACTGACTCTGGGAAGGAGGTCTTGACCAAGCCCATCTAGGGTGCTGGTGAGAGAGCTGAAGAGGAGGAGATGGATGTAGGAAATACTTAGGAGTTGAAAATGGTAGAACTTGGAAATTAACTGGATGCTATGGATAAGATGAAGGCCAGCCATTGACATGAGTGGCTGGGCACGTGGGGATGCCCCTTCCAAGAACTGACCAGTGGAGAAAATGATGGACCCAGTGTGGGCCTCACTGAGCATGTCTTGTGAGTGGCAGGAAGCTGGTTATGTCTTTATCCTGGGAGAGACCCTGGAGTCATCAGAATGTAGTGGGGTTGAAACCGCAGAGAGCCAGCCATCCCACAGAGAGTGCACATGGAGTAAAAAGGGCAAACACGTGTTTAATGTGTGTGGGAGAGATGCTCACCGCACCTGCCATATGCACCACCACACCGATAGTCCCAGCTAATTTTTAAATTTTATATAGAGACAGAGTCTCACTATGTTGCCGAGGCTGGTCTTGAACTCCTGGGCTCAAGTGATCCTCTCGCCTCAGCTTAGTGCTGAGATCACAGGCATGAGCCATCACACGCAGCCCATTTCTTGTGACCCCTAAGTCCCCCGTGTCTAGCATGGTGCTGTGAACATTGGAGATGCTCTACACACACTTGTGCGGTGAAAGCCAGGGTACTGCTTCATCTTGCTGACCTTGGTTTTCTCATCTGTAGAATGGAGATACCTCTAAAAAGCTGTTTTTAAAATTGGACAAGAGAACAGACTGAAAAGCTCTGTGCACTCTAAAGTATTTTGCAAATAAAAGGTGCAAGTACTCAGGTTTAATCACTCTTTCTTGACACCTTGAATCAGCCAGGAGACATTGCAAGGGCTGCGTTCTTCTTCTGCCCACAAGGTCCTGCTGGATCACATTCCCCTTCCAGCTGCCTCTGTTTCCCTGCCTTGGAGCTCTTGTAGGGCATGTGCTCAGGAGCCAAACCCGGGACCTTCCAGAAGCTCCTAGTACCTTGCTACTCAAAGTGTGGTCCATGGGCTGGCAGCATTCCCGTCACCTGGCAGCTTATCTGAAATGTAAAATTCTTAAGCCCCACCCCGGACCCACTGAGTCTGAAACTCTGGAGGGGAGGTTTAGCAATCCATCATGACAAATTCGCCAGGGGATTCTGATGCACCTAAGTTCAAGGACGGCAGCGTTGGAATACCAAAACCTTCTTTTCTCTCCAAAATGGGGGGGTGCTTTCATCTAAACGTAGTAAATGTTTCTTCTTTGTTCTGTGGGCTTGAATGTTTCTGACTTTGGTTGCCAGAATTAGCTTATTGTTGGCCTGGGGAAGAGGAAGCACCACCCTATGAACATATACACCCACCACTCGTAAACCACAGCCTGGTGACGTTCAGCAAATTTCCAAGACGACTGGTTGTGTTTTCATGAGGATTTCATTTGCTTATGAATGGATTTTATCTTCCTGTGGGTGGATTTTGTACGGACTGCAGAGAACCTGAAGTATAAATCCCTGAAACAGGAACGGCTCTGGATAGGTGCCTTGGGGACCATTCAGGAACATGGGCTGCTGTGGATTTGTAATCCTGGCAAAGCATTTGGCCTCACAGATGTGAGCGTGGAATTCAGGGACAGGAGTGCTGGCAAGAGGAGGGTGACTAGGGCCGAATTCTGATTCACTGGGTTGTGGGCAGTTTTTGGATCACGGGCTTCAGCTGTGCCTTCTCCCCTTTCTCTCACCGCCAAAACATACAAGTGAAAACAAACAAACAAACCCAAAACCCACCCTCGTGCGTTGCTGGTGGAAATGTCAGACGGTGCAGCCACGATGGAAAATGGTATGGTGGTTCCTCAAACAATTAAAAATAGAACCAACATATGACCCAGCAATTCCAGTCCTGGGTATATACCCAAAAGAACTGAAAGTGGGAACTGGAACAGACCTTTCTACACTCATGTTCATAGAAGCTTCATTCACAATAGCCTAATAAAAAAAATCCCGGTGCGCATCAGTGAATGGATAAACCAAATGTGGGCTGTGCATACAATGGACCATTATTCAGCCTTAAAGGGGAAGGAAATTCTGACGTGTGGATGAATCTTGAAGACACTATTCTAAGTCAAATCGCCAGACACAAAAAGACAAATACCGTTTGTCTATTTATATGAGGTACCTACAGTAGTCGAGTTCATAGAGACCGAGGTGGTGGTTGCTAGGGGCTGGAGGTATTATTTAACGGGTCTAGAGTTTTAATTTTGCAAGATGAAAAGAGTTCTGGAGAGGGAGGGTGCTGCTGGTCACACAACAGTTCGATGTACTTAATGCCACTTACAAGTGGCTAAAGTGGTAAATGTTATTTATTGGCCACTTTATATGTATAATTTCGTTGTGAATTTTACTACAACGAAAACAAGAAGCACCTCCCTCCACCACCATCACCGGAATTCTAGGCCAGTGTCCTGAAGAGGATGGAAGAGGTGAGTCACAGACTGGGAGTCACTGTTTTCTGGGAACTGAGAGGTTGGGAGCTGAGTCTCAAGTGGAGACTGTGCGTGGCAGGGAGGTGGGATGGGGAGCAAGGAGACCTGGATTCCAGCAGCAATGTGTCCTTCCTCAGGTTGGCTGCAGGCAAGTCACTTGCCCTTCAGAACTGTAGTTTCCTTACCTGGAAGACGGGAAGTGCCATTCACCTATTCATCCAAGAAGGTTTTGTTTTGTTTTGTTTTTGAGACAGTCTTGCTCTATTACCCAGGCTAGGGTACAGTGGCATGATCTCAGCTCACTGCAACCTCTACCTCCTGGTTTCAGGTGACTCTCATGCCTCAGCCTCCCAAATAGCTGAGACTACAGGCGCCCGCCACAACACCTGGCTAATTTTTGTATTTTTAGTAGAGACAGGATTTCACCATGCTGGCCAGGCTGCCTTCGAACTCCTGACCTCAGGGATCTGCCTGCCTCTGCCTTCCAAAGTGCTGGGATTACAGGTGTGAGCCACTGCGCCCAGCCAGAACATTGTATTCTATCTTGCTCAAACTTATTTGTATACCTGGAATCTTCTTTGTTAAATCCTCAATAATAATAGGACCTTTTTTTTTTTTTTTTTTGAGATGGAGTCTTGCTCTGTCACCCAGGCTGGAGCACAGTGCTGCAATCTCAGCTCACTGCAAGCTCTGCCTCCCATGTTCAAGTGATTCTTGTGCCTTAACCTCCCAAGTAGCTGACAGGTGATGACAGGCACCTGTCAGCATGCCTGGTTGATTTTTAGTAGAGATGGGGTTTCACCATGTTGGCCAGGCTGGTCTCAAACTCCTGATCACAAGAGATCTGCCCACCTCAGCCTCCCAAAATGCTGGGATTATGGGTGTGAGCCACCACACCTGGCCAATAAATAGGAACTTTTCACTAACTACAGCAAGATTATAATCTCCTACTCCTCCTCTTTGCTTCTGGAAAAACGAAGCCCTGTGTTCTCATATCCATCATTTGATGTGGCCCCGATACTGACCCCTGAGGGCGGGCGTTTTTATCTCTATTTGACAGGTGAGGAAACTGAGGCTCAGACAAGGTTAGTGGCTTGCACAGTCTGTACATGGCTGGCCTTGGCCTGGTGCTCATGTCCTGGGGCCTTGGTCCAGATCTTTCCTGGAGCTCCATGGAGAGGTGAGGTAGCTCTTACTGGGTGAGCACCCTGGAGTCCAGGCTGTGCTTGCAGAAAAGTGGGCTTTTGTTTCTTACCGGAATGTGGTAAAGTGAGGACAAGGTTGGACCTCTTCTGATGCTATCTGGAGAGGCCGCCATGACGGGCAGTGGCCTCAGTGTTAATGGACCTACGTAGTACCTTCCTGTGAGCAAATAGGACAAATGTGAATGACGCCTCTTGCTGTGGATGAGGGTGGCTGGTGCCGTTGCATGTGGGTTAGAACTGATCTTTGCCCGAAGTCTCCCTGGGAGAGCAGGCTCAGGATGGGCACGTGCTCATGAAAACCTCCAGCCTTACTTGCTACACCAAGGGAGCAGGAAAATATATAAACGATAGGGAATAGATTGGCAAAGCCAGGGAATGGGGAGGGGAGACATAAGCTACCCTTCAGCATCTTGGTATGTGACTCATTTGGACATATTCTTAGTGTTTGTTTGTTTTATTGAGATGGAGTCTCCCTCTGTCATCCAGGCTGGAGCACAGTGGCACGATCTTGGCCCATTGCAACCTCCGCCTCCCAAGTTCAAGCAATTCCCCTGCCTCAGCCTCCTGAGTAACTGGGATCACAGTTATATTAATCCATGCCACCATGCCCAGCTAAATTTTGGATTTTTAGTAGAGACAAGGTTTTGTCATGCTGATCGGGCTGGTCTGGAACTCCTGACCTCAGGTGATCCACATGCCTTGGCCTCCCAACGTGCTGGAAATACAGGTGTTAGCCATCATGTCTGGCCGTTAAGACATTCTAGTTGAATTGGAGTTGGCGGGCCAGCACACCTTCTAAATTAAATGAGTAAAGAATTCAGAACGGTGCCTAACACACAGCAGATGCTACATACATGCTGGCTACTATTATTCTAAGCTTTTCCTGCTTCTGACTTTCAGGGTCTCACCCACCACCAGTGATGCCCAGCCCTTGGTAGAGCTTGAACCTTCTATAAACAGGATGGCAGTGGAGAGATAGGCCCGGTCCCTGAGTCCATGAAGGGTGAGGCCCCTCCAGGCCCAAAGATGGGGAACATCACTGCAGACAACTCCTCGATGGGCTGCACCATCGACCACACCATCCACCAGACACTGGCCCCGGTGGTCTATGTCATGGTGCTGGTGGTGGGCTTCCCGGCCAACTGCCTGTCCCTCTACTTCGGCTACCTGCAGATCAAGGCCCGGAATGAGCTGGGCGTGTACCTGTGCAACCTGACGGTGGCCGACCTCTTCTACATCTGCTCACTGCCCTTCTGGCTGCAGTACGTGCTGCAGCACGACAACTGGTCACACGGCGACCTGTCGTGCCAGGTGTGCGGCATCCTCCTCTACGAGAACATCTACATCAGCGTGGGCTTCCTCTGCTGCATCTCCGTCGACCGCTACCTGGCTGTGGCCCATCCCTTCCGCTTCCACCAGTTCCGGACCCTAAAGGCGGCCGTGGGCATTAGTGTGGTCATCTGGGCCAAGGAGCTGCTGACCAGCATCTACTTCCTGATGCACGAGGAGGTCATCGAGGACGAGGACCAGCACCGTGTGTGCTTCGAGCACTACCCCATCCAGGCATGGCAGCGTGGCATCAACTACTACCGCTTCCTGGTGGGTTTCTTCTTCCCCATCTGCCTGCTGCTGGCCTCCTACCAGGGCATCCTGCGGGCTGTGCGCCGGAGCCACGGCACCCAGAAGAGCCGCAAGGACCAGATCCAGCGGCTGGTGCTCAGCACCGTGGTCATCTTCCTGGCCTGCTTCCTGCCCTACCACGTGCTGCTGCTGGTGCGCAGCCTCTGGGAGGCCAGCTGCAAGTTCGCCAAGGGCATCTTCAACGCCTACCACTTCTCCCTCCTGCTCACCAGCTTCAACTGCGTTGCCGACCCCGTGCTCTACTGCTTTGTCAGTGAGACCACCCACCGGGACCTGGCCCGGCTCCGCGGGGCCTGTCTGGCCTTCCTCACCTGCTCCAGGACCGGCCGGGCCCGGGAGGCCTACCCACTGGCTGCCCCCGAGGCCTCCGGGAAAAGCGGGGCCCAGGGCGAGGACCCCGAGCTGTTGACCAAGCTCCACCCAGCCTTCCAGACCCCTAACTCACCAGGGGCGGGAGGGTCCCCCACAGGCGCTTCAGCCTAGCCTGGGTCCCCCGTGGGTGGGGCCACGTGAGGCAGGAGCCTTCAGCCCACAGGCCTCAGGGTTGGCCACTTCCTGTTTCACTCAGCACTAGGGCAGCTTTCTGCTGAGGCGGCGAGGCCCCTGTGACTCCGGAAGCCTGTTCTCGCTTGCTGAGCCCACTGAGACCATCGAGGGTGGGAATAAGCCCCCGTCGGTTCATGGTGGCCTCTGCCGCAGAGTATGATGTGGCCAAGCTGGGGCTGCTTGGGCGGGGAGACAGTGAACTGCGCTTCCTGGCCTGCTTCCTGCCGTTTGTGCATGGGGACTGTGAGGACGTGGAGGGTGGGAGGCTGGGGGTTCACCTGCCGGGGCTTCCAATGCCACTGTTGTCACAGACAGTGCCTGTCCAGATGCCCCAGTGGGACCAGCACTAGAGTCCTGCCCACAACAGGGTGGGAAGGGAAGACTGGAGGGGGAAGGAAGGCAGAAGCGGGGAGGAATAGGGGGAAGGAAAAGGGGAAGAAGGAAGGAAGGAGGGGTGAAGGAAGGTAATGGGTGTTTGGGACTCAAGCTGGGGTGGGGGAGTGGGGGAGCTATAGGCAGAGGAGGACGCTAGCTCCAGCCACAAGAACTGGGAGAGCCGCCGGCTGCCCCAGGAGACCTGCCCCCCGCCACAGAAATGCTAGTCCTTCAGACTGGTCCCAGAAGGTCGGTGGGCTGGGACCAGCTCTGACTTCCCAGGTCATGCCCTCCAAGGCCTGGCACTAAAATCCCTTAGAACTGAGAGGCTACATGGGCTTCCTCCAAGAAGGGACCGGGGCGAGGAGCAGAAGTTGGCATCAGTAAACATTTCTAGAATCTACCAAAGGGAGGCCCAGGCAGAACCCCTTCCTCAGTCTCCCTTCCCCTCTTCCCTTTGTGCTGTGTCTCTTAGCCCTTTCATCAGGGATGCTCAGAGGCAGACAGCCCAGGCTGGAGGTGCCCCAGGGAGGGGTGCTCACGGTGGTCCCAGGACTACACTTGGCTTTGACTGAGCAGCCCCTGCTCAGATCCTTGTGAAGGGTGTCCAGTGACATGGAGAGGTTCTCTTCCCCTTCCTAGAGGAGGAAGTGACCAAGTTTGAAGGTGGCAGAAATGACCACACAGCCAACAAGAGTCCATGCAACTCAGCCCAGGATCCCCCTGGGGCAGTGACATTGGTGGAAGCTTCCATGCCTCATTCCACAGTTCTTCCTCCCATGATGACCTTAAACACCAGCTTTCCCACTGACTACAGACTGGGATGAGCTGAGGGCAGTATCATTTACTATCAAGAGCTGTATTTTTGTATTGTCCTTTTTGCCAAGTGTATATGTGTTGACTGTGCAATGGATTTATGTAGCAAACTTCAGTCTGCAAATAAAGCAAAGTAACCAGACACCTTGGACATATTCCGTGGTCCTTATGGGGTAGGGGGTTCCCAACACTGGGGGGATCTAGAGGACCCTTGAAGAAGCAAAGGAGTCAGGAAGGGCCAGGGGTTGACCTTCTCAGGGCAAACTCAAGCAGAGAGATTAGGGGATTTGCCCTTAATCACCCAACAATGGTGGAGAAGGACACAGCCCTTGAGTGAAGTAGAGCCTTCTCTCCCTCTGCTTGAGATTCATAAAGTGCCACCCAGCTCTTGAGCATGGTGTTGCAAATTCGCTCTGGGGCCTAACTGGGACAACTCCCTTTTGAGGGCAGAGCCCAGTCATGTGGTTTGGAGAATATCACCCTCTCTGTCCTTGGCTACAGGATCCCTTGTACCTGCTGGGTAGCTGCTCCCCACAGTGAGGGAGGGCTCCATCAGGCCACCCCCTCCTCACTAGAGAAGATTGCCGATGCAGAAGGGCCTGCTGCATTCATCTCTGTGGGGCTGTCCTCGGTGATGGAGCTGTGTTTGGAGAGGCCGACATTTGCTGACCTGCCTCTTTAGGCTGGAGCGTCTTCTCAACAATGGCATGTGCCATGTTTATCACTGAGGATTAACTGCATCATATTAAAATGTAAATTTGATCTTGGTCACTTAATCCCCCTCTGGGTCAGGCTCCTAGAGTCCTGGGGTGTTCCAGAGAGTAGATCCTTCTTCTAAACAGACTAAGCAAGGACATTATTGGGGATTATGACTCCTTCTCTCCTAAGAGGATGGGTGGGAGAAAAAGTCCAACTGGTTTGGAAGGTGACAGAAACCATTAGGATTTATTTCTTATTCACCAGCGTTGTTTAGTCAGATGAGGGCTCATCTTCCTGTTTATACACAGGGCTCATCTTCCTATTACACATACTGGTCTGTGGGTTTGGCCAGACAAGAGTGGAAGAAATTTTCAGCATGAAATACATCCCCATCTGCTGCTTTCCTCTGGCTGGTCTAACTGAAAGAGAGTCAGACTCTGACCCTCTTAGCTCATTGCTTTTCTGAAAAACCCACTCCTTGTAGCTGGTGATCCTGAAGCCTCTATCCCTGGAAATCATCTGGCAAGACAGTGGTCTTTGATAATACTATGAATTGAATGTCCCCTCCAAAACTCATTCTGAAATTTCATTGCCATTGTAACTGTGTGGAGAGGTGGGACCTTTAATAGGTATTAGATCATGGATTAATGATGTATGGTGGGAGAGAGTTTGTTATTGGGGAAGTTCAGCCCCCTTTTCCTCTGTCTTCAGAGCTTGCTTGCCTTTCTGCTTTCTGCCATGAGATGAGCCCTGCCAGATGCTGGCACCATGTTCTTGGATTTCCCAGTCTCTAGAACCACACCCAAATAAATGCCTGTTCTTTATAAATTACCTAGTCTGTGGCATTTTGTTATAGCCATAGAAAATGGACTAAGACAGTTGGCATTTATCCTCAGGTTATAATAGTGCCCAGTACTCTGGGGAAATGTTGGAATTTCAATCCCATTTGCTTTAATCCAACAACTTTTAGAAGAACACTGCTAAATTACACGTTAGATATCAGTGCTGGCGTATACCAGAGAAGTCATAATATACCGTTCCCTCTCCATGAAGTCTCTCCTCTGCATTCCCCAAAAATGATAGTCCAGTCTCTCTACTAGCACCACCAATGACAACTCACTACTACCCAAGACAACTTATTTCAGGACGGAAAACTTCATGCAAAGTCCAATGAGAGACTTCTGGCAAGTCTTTCCCACAGTGATGGCCCTGATTCAGGATCCTCCCATCGCCAGAGTCTATCATCCGGGGTCTTCCCTTTTCATCCACACAGGTAAAGGGAAGCAGCAAAAAGAGAATCTCACAGGGGTTTTGGCCAAGTGTGGAAATGGTTGATATCCCTGCTACTCACACTCCATTGGTGAGATCCCAGTCATGTGGCCCCAACCTAACTGCAAGGGAGACTGGGGAATGTAGTTTTCCTATGGATGCAGGAAAAAGGCGGAATTGTTGAGCATCTGGCTAGTTTCTGACAGACAGACACCTCAACTTAACAGGTGTTTTGTTTTGTTTTCTTGAGACAGAGTCTTGCTCTGTAGCCCAGGCTGGAGTGCAGTGGTGCAATCTCAGCTCACTGCAAACTCTGCCTCCCAGTTTCAAACAATTCTCCCACCTCAGCCTCCTGAGTAGCTGGGATTACAGGTGTGCACCACCACACCCAGCTAATTTTTGTATTTTTAGCAGAGACAGGGTTTCACTATGTTGGTCAGGCTGGTCTCGAATTCCTGACCTTGTGATCCACCCGTATTGGCCTCCCAAAGTGCTGGGACTACAGGTGTGAGCCACCGCGCCTGGCCAGAGTGCTGACCTTCTCAGCTGGCTCACTTGCCTCTGATCCACCTCCTGCAGAGTCTGTGTGGCTCCTTCTCCCTTCAACAGGCCAAGGTCTACAGGCTGCCTGTTACCCACAGAGCATCCCACACACTGTTGACCAGGATCACCTCCCCTCAATGTTCTTGGAAACGCCCAGGGATGCTCCTGTGTCCCACAGATCCATTCTGGTTGGCACCAGGCCCATATCTCACCTTAAGGCACCCCATCATTCCCTGCAGGTCATCTCCTGTCCCCCTGTAACCAGCTTCTCCAGGCTGCAGCAACGCTCCCCATGGCCATCCCACAGATACAGGTGCTTCCCCAAAGCACAGTCAAGGCTAGGACAGAAGAGCAAAGCTGGGCAAAATGTTCCTAAAGGTCTAAGCAGGAATCCTATCGTGGAATGGACAAGTGTCAAAACTGGATCCTAGAACGCAGAGCTCCTGCAGCCCTTGGGCTGGGCCCTGCTAAGGGGTCTTCTCCTGACCCTCCCTTGCACCCGAGCCCCTGCTGTGGGACCACAGGCCTGCCTCTCCCTGTAGCAGGGTGGGGGCTTTGGATGCGTCACTGAGTCTAGGACCCCTACTCTCAGCTTTCTCTGGGCTCAACCTGGGTGTCAGCCTCTTTCCCAAAACAACTGAAATCCTCTCCCCATGAACTTCCGCCCACAGTGAAGACAACCCATTACATGGTTATGCCTCAGACGCCTCCATGCCAGGAGAGAAGCCTGCTGTTACCATTGCAAAAACAAAGGCCCATTCGTGTCTTTCCCCAAAACATGAGTCCGAAGGGTGCTGGCAGCTTTACCATAGTGAGGGCTCCTCTCTTCTATCCATCCAGATTGCAGAAACATCAGGGTACACTGTCAATGAGAGGCCCTCGCCACATGGAACTCTGCAGTCCCAAATCAGGGACAAAAATCATAATTGGAGGACAGCTGGCCAGGGAGGCAGCAGAACTGAGGTGGCTTCGCGGAGCCATGAGAAGCCGCAGATGGAGGGCTGCATTCTCAGGATGGTGGAGGTATCAGGATGCTGCACCAGCACCAGCACAGCCTCTGCCGGAGGGAACTCCCCTAGAATGACAAGGGAGAGTCCCCACCCCAGCAACTTCCGCCCAGGGGCTGCATCACATTCCCGCATAGGGAGAACTGAAGTCAGTCGGTGCTACGTCCTCATGCCTAACAGCTGTGTATAACGAGGAGGTCATTTCTCTCCCATGCGTTCTGTTCTCACAACTGTTGCCCATTAAAGAATGAAACTAGGCCTATTTAAGGAAATGAAGGAAAACTAAGCAGGTTCAACAAACATTTGGGGCCATGGCTGGGAAGCTGGACTCCCCTGGTCCGGATGAGTCAGCTGTCACTCAGCAGTGCAACCGGCACAAGAGAGCGGAAGAGTGTAATGGGACACGGTCAGTGACTAAGTTTCTACTGTGCAGTGGGAGCTTGTGGAGGAGGTAAGAGCAAGTGACTGGAGCTGTTTAGGAGGACTCTGTGAGCCACCTGGGCACTGGACTGGCCTGACTCCCACAGGGTAAGGCTGTCCTCTATGCAAGAGATCGAAGGGTCCAGGTTCAGGAGGGGCACGGGCGCAGACAGAGAGGAGGCAGTGTCAGGAGTGAAGGCAGGTGAGGGGCAGCAATGGTGATAAATGTCAGGCTCTTCAAAGGACCTTTTGCCTTAGTAAACAAAACGATGTTCAGGGGAAAAAAAAGCATTTCAAAGGTATAAATATTTTGGTGGTGGTAGTGAGTAAACCTTCTGTAAAGCCCAAAAACTTTGTAAATATATATTCCACATTTGTACATTTTACCATTTTATTTTTTTCCAGACCGAGTCTTGCTCTGTTGCCAGGCTGGAGTGCAGTGGTACAATCTTGGCTCGCTGCAACCTCTGCCTCCCGGGTTCCAGCAATTCTCCTGCCTCAGCCTCCTGAGTAGCTGGGACTACAGGTGTACGCCACTGCAAACAGCTAATTTTTGTATTTTTAGTAGACAGGGGGTTTCACCATGTTGGCCAGGATGGTTTCGATCTCTTGACCTGGTGATCCACCCGCCTCAGCCTCCAAAAGTGCTGGGATTGCAGGTGTGAGCCACTGCTCCCAGCCTTTTTTTTCTTTTTTGAAACAAAGTCTTGCTGTTACCCACGTTGGAGTGCAGCAATGTGATCACAGCTCACTGCAGCCTTGAACTCCCGGATTCAAACAATCCTCGCACCTTCACCCCATGAGTAGTCGAGACTACGGGTGCATACCACCAGGCCTGGCAAATTAAAAAAAATTTTTTTGTAGAGATAGGATTTCATTATGTTGTCCAAGCTTGTCTCAAACTTCTGGGCCCAAGGGATTTTCCCACCTTGGCCTCCCAAAGCGTTGAGATCACAGGCGTGAGCCACCATGCACGGCTGCTTGACTATGTCCTTTGTAATAGTGCCCCGTCATTCGAAGGGAGTAGGTTCCAAGATCCCCAGTGGATAGTACTGAATTTGATTGCTGTCAACTGCAACACGTTTCTGTTCATGTCTTCCACCTACACGTGTAATGCCTTTTCCATCTTAACTAACCACTTAGCACACACTGTGACCAGAATTTTTGCAGCTTGAGGTTTGACAACTAAACTAGCACAAA